GCTAAACATGATTGCTTTCATCTTTCACACTGCCACCGACTAATCTCACATTCTCATGCAAAGAAAATGTTCACAAAACAAAGTCTAGCAACTACAGCTAAAAACTAGTCATTGATCATATATAATAATACAATATATCTCGCTACCCAAGGGAAACAACCTGATTCCACAACTAATCCACACAAATTCTAAAAGATTTATTTCTTTTCTTTAACATATTTATCTAACCTAATGGATTGAAATTAGAGTTGCGGTTTGATACTTTCAGAAGAAAGGGATCATGTACTAATACAAAGATCCAAAGATCCAAAAAGAACAAAAGAAAAAAGTGGTCAATGGAATTGAGGAACAGGACACGAAAATAGCAGGTTTGCAATGGGATCAATTGAAAATAGAGAAGTAATTGGACAAATGTGGACAGAACTTTTTTTTTCTTTTCTTTTTATAATTGCAGTTACTGTTGCCTCATGTTTACACAACAGCATTTTTTTTTGGTTAAAAAGTGGTAACATTGTAGAGCTTTCAAACAATGTTTTTACACAACTCATATGTACAAAACCATCCCACAAAAAGAAAAACTACCTACATAATCTTCTATGACAGATTGGCAATTACTTGAGCACTTGCACCCAACTGAATACACGACCAGATCACCCACCTTTCCTTTTTAACTCACGCAGGCGTTTCCCTGTGTTTTTGCTTTCAAATTTTGATTTGATTCCCTCATTAGTGTAATTCCAACCCAAGTCTCTTCATTTGAGAGTTGCAGGTATATAGGATGTGGGCTATCCTGTTCGTGCCTCTTCAAACTATACACCTCCGTCAAGTTATAGCCATAGCAACAGCAAGCAATACTATATCGCCATACATCTCTTTACCGACCTTTTCCACCTGCTAGAATAAAATTTGATCAAATAAAGTTATCTCAACTGCATAATCCAACAAAGAAATTAATAAAAAAATCCATCCACAACAACACCGGCAAATCTTTGCATTTTGAGCATAAGAAACCAAACTAATACAAACAACGAGGGGGGGAAATAATCAAACAGGCTGTGATACTTGTAACACTTCAGATTATTAGGTAAGTTGGATGCCAAGAACTCTCTGAATAAGACAAGCCTCACCGGTCCAAGAAAAATTTGCAAAACTACTTGTAAATCATTCACCAACGAAATTCTCACACTGTATGGTATATAAATCTTATCCTCACCAACTGCACCAACCTTGTTAGCCAAGCACCTACTAGTCTAATACCATGACTTCGACATCCAGAATTCAACTACCAAACGTCATAAATCTTTTTCACACCACAAAGCAAAGGCATGAACATACCGCACCTATGCACACCCACAGACATGTAGCTTAAAAAGCAATTTCACAGCAGTGCCCATCAATATCAAGAACCATTTTAAGATCGCAAACATAAAAGAAAAATCCCACAACACACAGCAAAGACCCAAACGTTTTGACCATCGCAACTCAGTTATCTACTGCTAATTGCATCGATAATAATAATAATAATAATTAAAAAAGAAAAAAACTTTTGAGCATCATAATTTCTGCTATCACGAACTCAGTTACGTACTGTCAATTGCATCAAACCCCAATAATAATAATAATAATAATAATAATAATAATAATAATAATAATAATAATAATAATATAATAATAATAAAGGATAAAACTTACGATGCGGAAATTAGATTTCAGTCCCTGAAAATGACGGATTTGGCAATGCGCATCAAGGGCTCCAAGCAATCGGGGGTGAATTTCCTGGCGAAGAGGTAAGACTCGGAATGATTGGACTGTCGGAGCCGGAGAATGAGTTCGGGCGAGACCTCGGTGGGGCGGTAGGTGTAGGGGTGGCCGTTGACGGTGCCGGTCCAATTGACCCGTGTAAGCGTGTATTTGGTGCAGCCATCGGGGTCGAGCATGGACAAGAGCGTGGGAAAGTAGTGTTCCTCGGGGTAGCACTCGTCGTCGCGGTAGCAAGGGATCTTGAATTTCCTCCAGAGCGAGCGGTCCTTGACGACGAGGAGGGCGTGGCGGCGCGTGAGGGTGAAGAACTGGGATCCGACGCGAAAGCTGCTAAAGGGGACTTCGGGCATCATGGCGTAGCGGCCACGGGCGGCGTAGCGGCGCCAGAGCTTGGGGGAGCGGTGGAGGATTTCGAGGAAGGATTTGTAGCGGAGGCGGATGGGGAGGTGAGAGGGTTGAGGGGTGGAGGAGGAGGAGGAGGAGGAGGTGGTGTCGAAGGTGGGGGAGAGGAAGAGGGAGCGGTAGATGTAGGGAACGGAGGGGAGGGGGATGCAGGGCTG